CTGGGTGGTGGGATGGCACAGCAGGCAAGTGCACTGGCTGTCGCTCCCCCAGGTGGGGCGAACAGCACAAGCTAACCCCATTTAGTCCCTGGTGGGAGGAATGGGGGGGGCATTTGTGGCAGCCCCACATTAATGCCTCGGGGGACATGACAGTTATGGAGAATGACTGTAGGGTAGAGAGCTAAACAATACAGCATCTCCCATTCACACCACACCCAACATCCTTCTCTGCTTCTTTTTTTTTTTTTTTCTTTCGTGTGTGTTATATATGCATGGCCGCACATGTGTGTGTAGGTGCATGTGAGTGCCTGTGTGTGAAACCTGGATGGTGACATCAGGCACCTTCCTCACTCACCCTCCACTTTATTTACTGAAAACAGGTCTGTCACTAAACCTAGAGCTCACCAACTCTGGCTAATCTAACTAGTTGGCGTGTCCCAGGGATCCCCCACCCAGCTTTTACATGGGTGATGGGGTCCAAACGCCTATCTTTTGTTTGCTCTAAAACACTTTATCCACTGAGCCAACACTCCTTTTTTGAGGAAACAATGGATGCCAGTGATAGACTTATTGGCCCTTGCTTATTTTTCTTTCTTTTAAAAATATGCTTTTGGGGCCAGAGAGATCGGCTCAGCAGGTAAGAGCTCATTGCTCTTCCAGAGGACCCGAGTTCAGTTCCTAGTACCCACATCAGGCAGCTCACCTATAACTCCAGTTCCAGGGGTTCTGATGCCCTCTGGCCTCCACAGGCACTTGTTCAAATATGGTACACATAAACAAACTCTCTCTCTCTCTCTCTCTCTCTTTCTCTCTCTCTCTCTCATAGATGGTGGTGGTCCTTGGGAGATCCTGCCTACCCTCTGTAAAAAGGTTTCATTATATAATGCTAGCCTCTGGGTCTCTTACAGATTTAGAAAAGCATCTGAAATACATACAAGTACACCTAAACTACTAAAGACTGGAAATCAGTCTGCCATGGGTGCAAGGGCCAGGCACAGTCTATCAATGTAAAACAGCTGCAGGTATTTGGGATGTTCTTAAGGTACTGCTACATCTTATACCCAACCTTGCTCAAGTTGCCCATTCTTTGTTTAACTTGATAAAAAGGGGCTTCATGTAGGATTATAAAAGAAAAGCTCAAGAGGCTTTTGAGTAAGCTAAGAACCTTCTGGACAGGCTAAACAGCTGTGTGCCCCACTACTGCAGTGCCTTTTTGTGTTGGAAATTACTAGCTCAGAGGACTGCGGCTAGGGGCTATGATAGAAACTTGGTATAAAGACTAGAACAGCAATTGTCAGCTGCATATAAAGCACTGTCATAGGAGCCCAGCACTGGCATCACTTCAGTAACAGTGAAAACAGCTAATCCAATTAAAGGCTGGATTGAAAGCTTTCTGGCCAAGCCTCTTTCTGGGGTGGCAAAGAATCAAACCCAGCCAAAGTGGTATGCATACTTATAGCAATGTCCACAGCTCTGTCACCAATACCATGCATGCTGTGATAGACAAGGGTCCATGGAAACCACAGAACCTCCTCCCTTACACATGCCTGAGATGAAAGTTTAATTTAAAAATTAAGCACACTGCCGGGCATGGTGGCCCACGTCTTTAATCCCAGCACTTGAGAAGCAGAGGCAGGCAGATTTTGTGAGTTCAAGGACAGTCTGGTCTCTGGTCTACATAGTGAGTTCCACGCCAGCTAGGGCTACAGGGAAAGCCTGTCTCAAAAACAAAGACCAAAATAAATAAATAAATAAATAAATAAATAAATAAATAGTAAGAGATTAACAACAATAATAAGGACAATTATAATATTCTGTAGTGTTATTTAAAACATGATTTATTCCTTGCATTTTCCATTTAATGTTTTTTAAAGATTTATTTTATATTTTATTTATGTGGATTTGTGTATGCTTGCATGCGAGCAGTGTACATGTGTACAGGTGCCTATGGAGGTTAGAAGAAGGGGTTGGAGCCCATGGAGCTAGAGTTGCAGGCAGTTATGAGCCACCGGACATGTGTGCTGGGAACTAAACTCAAGTCCTCTCTGTAAGAGCAGCAAGTGCTCTTAACCAATGGACCACCTTTCCAGTTCCCTATTTAATATTTTTGCTTTTTGTTTTTTTTAAAAAAGTATGAGTGTTTTGCCTGCATGTATGTATGTACACAACATGCATGCAATGCCTACAGAGTCCAGAAGAGGGTGTCGGATCCTTTGGAACTGGAGTTACAGTTGTTAGTCACCATGTGGGTGTTGGGAACTGCACCTGGGTCTTCTGGAAGAGCAGCCAGTGCTCTTAACCACTGAACCATCTCTCCAGTCCCCAATATTTTTGGATCACAACTGACTTCAGATAGTGAAAACTACAGCATATGAAACTTTGGATATGGGGAGCGAGGGAACTACTGAATGTCTATGACCACCTGAGTGCCAATTGCTATCAAGCGGGCCTGAACTGTTTCCAGGGCCTCCTAAGTGCTCTCTCCTGCTTCTTCTTTTGCCCCCTTCAAGCTGAATTTACCACAGCAGCCAGTGTATTCATGTTAAAACACAAGTGAGATCACATCACTTCTGCTGAGAGGCTCCAATTACTTCTTGTCTCAGAGTAAAAAGTCCTCCCCTGTCCTACAAAGCATACTCTGCAGTCACACTGACCTATGTTCTGTTCCGGAACACTCCTAACACGCTTCTGCCTATCCATCTTGGTTTCCTCTGCAGTTAATTCTCATGCTGTCTAAAATGGCACCTTTGCTAACCCTGAACGCCCTTCTCTACTTAAGTTTGCCATGAACCCTTCTAACATACTGAACATTTGATTTACCTTATTTATTGTCTTTCTTACATACTAGAGTGTAAGCTTCATGAGGACAGGTATTCTCATTTATTTATGTTACCACTCAGAAAATTCCAGTGGGTTTAGCCGCTATGTCAGGCACCACATATTTATTTTATTATACCACGAAAGGACTCCTACAACTCAACAATAGTAACTTGATTAAAAAAAGGCCATGAACTTGAAGAGACATTTCTGTAAAGACGATATACAACTGAGCAACAGTGCATGGAAAGATAGCAGCAGCAGAAACACACAAGTCAGACCACAACAAGACATCCCTCACACCTGTCACGATGACTTCATAAGACAGACAGTAACGGGAACCTATGTGTCAAGATCACTGGAACTGTAAACAGGACAGCTGCTATGGAAACAGTGTGGCCACCCTCCCCTATCCACATACAGAAAACAGGACTACTATGAGAGATCAGGCTGTGCTCTACCCGAGGTTACACCATAATGTGGAAAACACTGGCTTCCCTGCCTTGGGAAACATCACTCTACAAGCAGCATTTGACTCAATCTTGACTGTAATGCAGAGGTAGCTGACGACACACCTCATGGTGCATCTAGACATCACAACCTGTCGAACACCACCCATGAAGTACAGACTGATAAGTAACTTATTTCTTTAAAGCAAAAGGAGTACCATCCTGCAAACTTATCAAAATAGACTGGACCATGTGAGCACACATCAGAAAAGACAGGCCACAGAACTTACAAACATGTCAAGGAAAGGTGCAACACCCTCACCTGAACCCCATAAAGAGGAGAACACCTAACACTGTGATGGCTACTAATGGGTCATCCAACCATCCAGTGTGTGTGTCAAAGAACTAGAACAGGCAAGAAGTTCCGACTGTCCCAAGGACTTTCAGCTCAGCTTTTGCCCCACTGCTGACACAGCTGACTCAAACTGTCACCTGTTAGTCTATGAGTTCGCCTACCTGGACCTGGGCCTGCACCTCACTTCCACAGCCTCCACTTCTCTGCAGCTTGACTCAACTCTGAGGCGCGGCTCAAACCTGTGAACCTGCAGCCCGGTTCTCCAGCAGGGGCATGCCCAGCAGCTCTCCCACACGCTCATCAACACCCTACCCCAGACATTTTTTGCATCTCTATCAGCCTTCTGCCTCTACCTCTTCAACCTAACCCATTCTTTAATTTACACACACACACACACACACTCACACACACAAACACACACACACACTCTCACATACCCCCATTACCTGTGATCTGAGAGTCAGTATTAGTGGTGAAGACTGGAACAAAAGAGTTTGTATTTGTCAACAGCCAGCTACAGAGGGAAAGGGGGCAACCTGGCAAATTATAGCCAATGAAACCAACAGAGCTTGTAAAGCTGTTGTTATTCAATAAAGTCTGACATTGAGGAAAGACACAAATGTGTCCATCTATGTTTCTGACAGTGCGCTCATGACAACTACATATGACCCAGCAGTGCCACTTCTGGATATACACACAAAAGCCCTGAGAAGAGGCTCTCAAAGAAGTGTGTGTATCCCACATTCATGCATCACTGCTCACAACAGCAAGAAGCGGAAGCAGCCCATGTATCCATCAACAGACGAATGGATAAACAGAGAAATGTACATTGAATGCTACAACATGGATGAATCTTGGGAACATTATAGTAGGTGAAACACAGGGAGACAAATATTGTATTATTTCACTTACACAAGGTAGCTAATGTAGTCAGATTCTTAAAGTCACAAAACAGAATGATGGACAAGAAGGAATGGGAACTGTATTTAAGGGGTGTGGAGTCGGGTTTATAAGGTAAGAACGTCCTGGAGATCAGTTTTATAACAACAGAAATATATTTCACACTACTAACTTAACTTAAAATGGCTAAGATGACAAATTTTATGTTATATGCTTTTATCACATTAGAAAAAAAAAGTCAGAAAACTGTCTATATTCTCTGCAGTACTATTTTGTGCTAAAATAGACACTTTGTAGTTATATGAACGACAGATCAATATTAAAATACAAAGACTTTTTTTTTTTGGTCTTTTTGAGACAGGGTCTCCCTGTAGCCCCAGCTGTCCTGGAACTCACTATGTAGACCAGGCTGGCCTTGAACTCACAGAGATCTGCCTGCCTCAATATAAAGACATTTTATAACCAGAAAACCTTGTTACCTGCAACAAATCCAACTACCAGATCTTTTCCAGTAGAAGAATGTTGACCTTTGACCCATACTGCTTTGAGGCTATTGAAAGTGTAGAAATAGACAAAATTGGAGCAGCAGAGACTGGAAATAACTGGAAACCACCCTCGATATGGTGCCAGGCTATGGAAAAAAAAAACACAATAAGCAAAGTAAAAGGTCATGGACAAAAGTCACTGGAAACCATGAGAGAAGTCTGCAAAGGTCTAAATGTAAAACGTTCTTCCACAGGCTTACATATTTGAAGAGTACATAGGTCAGAAATGGTAAATGTGCAGGCAATGCTGGAGTTGAAAAGTAATTGTTTGGAACTTAATGGTATGTTTAGGAAAGAAGAGCCGGGCATGGTGGTGCATGCCTATGATCCCAGCACTTGGGAGACAGAAGCGGGAGCATCAGGAGTTTAAGGCCGACCCCAGCTGCACAGTGAGTTTAAGGCTAGCCTGGGCTACAACGAGACTGTCCCCCAAAAAATCTAGAGAAGAAATTTTGATAAAGAGCAGGATATTTATGATCTAGAAGGATCTCCCTATAGAGTACTTATGGTTGCAAGAAAAGAAAAATTATTAAACAGTAGCTAAGTCAAATGTCAGAAACTGTAAGTAACCAGCAAAGAGCCGGTGGAGAGTGTATGAGTCACTGAAGGATACAGTACTACCCATGCATTCTTCTTGAGGGAGAGGGGGAGGGGGAGGGGGAGAGAGCTTGATCTCATGCTGCCTAGCTACCTAGGCATTCAATATTTTGATCAAGAATGCATAACCCAATCTAATCATGAAGAAATATTGTGTAAACTTAAAATAAGAGTCATTCCTTTTTTTTTTTTTTTTTTTTTTTTGAGACAGGGTCTTCCTGTAGCCCCAGCTGTCCTGGAACTCACTATGTAGACCAGGCTGGCCTTGAACTCACAGACATCTGTCTGCCTCTGCCTGTCTCTGCCTCCCAAGTGCTAAGATTAAAGGCATGCACCATCACGCCAGTCTTTTTAAAAATATTTCTTACTATTTTTATTTTATGTGTATAAGTGTTTTGTCTGAATGCACACACCACATGTGTGCAATGCCCATAGAAGCCAGAAGACAGTGTCAGATCCCCTGGAACTGGAGTTATGGATAGTTGTTAGCCACTATGTGGTTGTGGAAATGGAACCCGGGTCCTCTGAAGAACAGCAAGTGTTCTTAACTGCTGAGCCATCTCTCCAGCACCAAGAATTCTTCAAAAGTGTCAATGTCACAGCCTGGCGTGGTGGCACATGCCCGTAGTCCAGCACTTGGGAGGCAGGCGGATCTCTGTGAGTTCAAGGCCAGCCTGGTCTACATAGTGAGTTCCAGGACAGCTGGGGCTACAGGGAGACCCTGTCTCAAAAAGAAAGACAAAAAAAAAAAGCTTTGATGCATGTAACATATTTAAATAACTCTGAAAAAAATCACAAGTGATATACATGTATGTGATAAGGACAGAAGCAGGAGGGAGAGTGCAAGCACAAAGGCAACACAGTGGGAGACGTGTCAGTAAATACAGGGAAGCATACAGTGGTGCTCTTTGTACCAATTTTAGTTTTGCAACTTTTTGTAACTCTGAAATTAGTTCAAAATACAAATTCAAAACAACACACATAAGTATGCAATCTGGATGCAACTAATGAGAACTAATCCAACTTTTTTTCTTTCTCCTGTGATATTTCGATTGAAACCAGCCCTCATGAAGGCTAGGCGAGTGCTCTGTCAATGAGCGACATCCTCACCTCCAAAGAAAGGGTAAACTGCTGCTTTACTACACATTAAACAAAGTGCTCATTTCCTAGAAGGCGCCATGGTCAAAAATCAAATGGGTAACCACAGATTTCTAAGGAATTAAGAGCATGCATGCATGTATGAAGCAGGCAATCATAAACTCACAGCACTGCAAGCCTGTGGGAGCTGGGCCTTCAGATGTGCTGGGGCCTATGCTCTAACAAGCTGCTCTGACAAGCTGTGTGGGGAGGTGGTACTCACAGGCCTTCTTCTTTAATAATCTCCAGGAGCACCGTGTGTGTAGTTTTTGACTTTCTTTTTTCATCAACTGTAAGGACAAAGAGTGCATGTTTAGACTTCGGGAATTATTCTCTCCAGTTTCAACAAGTTTGACTAAAATGCCATCCCATGACCTCACCTCACCTGTGCATACCCATCCTGTTCTCTGAGCTCCCTACTTTGCCTCAGAGCCTCCAGTGTGTCTAGCCAATCACTTATTTCCCCACTATGGATTCCTTGGATTTCATCTGTGGTTCAGAAGGAATTTTAACGCAAGCACCAATTTCCATAGGAAAGCAGAAATGTCATTTCTAGCATGTAAAAAAGTGTTCTTTTTAAAAGATTTATTTTATTTTTAGTGATGTGCATAAATATGTGTCTGTGTTGGTATGTGCATGTAAGTGCAGGTGCCTGTGGAGGCCAGAAGAGGGCATCAGATCCCTTGGAGTTGGATTTATAGGCAGTTGTGAGCCTCCTGATGTAGGTGCTAGGAACTGACCTTAATACCCTGGAAGAGCAGTGCATGCTCTTAACTTCAGAGCCATCACTCTAGCTCCCAACAGTGCTCTTCTCTTAAAGGAACTTATCTGGCCTCATTTTTATCCTCATACCTTACAAAACAGAACTTGGATTACTTTGTTCCTTTCATAAAAGAGTTTTACAATTTTGGCTTTGTGCTCTGTTCACTAATCCTAAGGGGGAAAAGAACCCAGAAGGACAGCTCTGCTTCTTCTGGCATTGATACTGAGAACATCATCCACCTCAGTTAACTCCAAATTTCCTACCCACACTTGAAAATGAAAACATAAAAATGTGGAAGTGAGCCAGTTTCCTCAGGATTAAAACTGGTACCAGTACGTCTCCTGAAATGGCAGATTAGTCTGTCTCTTAATAAAAGCATCTGGCAAAAACTCACAGTTACATACACATTTATTTACTCTTTGATCCAGTAATCCCATGCCTGGGAATTTATCCCATAAAATTTACAGAAACAAAATGCATGTGAACAAATCTATTCTTACATCATAAGAATAATGAAAAAAAAAGTGGAAAAAAACCATGAATTCTTCCACATTAGGGGAAGGGCAAGCAGGCTACGGTGCCATGTACTGCTGTAGAAAGCTATAATACCCAATGAAGAAACACATGCTGCCAGGTGCTTTTGTTTGTGATAGGGTCTCACTATGCAGCCGTGGCTGGCCTGAACTCATTATGTAAACCAGGATGGCTTCAAACTCCCAGAGATCCTCCTGCCTCTGCCTCCTGAGCGCTGGAATCAAAGGCATGTGCCATCATGCCAGACATACTGCCAGGTTTAAAATGCAAGGTTCAGAACAGAGTATAGAGTGTTTTTTGTATAAGGGAGAAAATAAAGAATACATATTATTTGCTTCTTATTCCATCGTCTGCAAGGCTTTCGAAAAAAATAGGAAAGGCTGATTGGCACCTCAGCCCAACATTCACTCCTACACTACAATGGGTTCAAGGTTCTGCACACACCTACCATTTGAGTTCTTTCTCCCCGACCCCTCCCTCTCAGTGTCGCTCCCTTCTCCCTCACTGAAACAAGGTCTCAGTGTTGATGTGCTCCACATGCCTCAGCCTCCCAAGTAACCGGAACTACAGGTGAGCATCTCAGCATTCATGTGCCACCTTACATTCGACAAGATGTCCAAATCCAGAAATCTTTTGTAGCAGTGATGATACCAAAGAAACAACACAAATTCAGTGTTAACTACAGTGGGGGGGGGCAGACTAGAGAGTCCCCTATACTACACACCTCTGCACGTAGTTTGCTCTGTGAATCATAGAAAATTGTTACCTACTGTGCTATAGACTGAAGACTCGCTGATCTTTGGAATTCGTCAGACGTTCCCAGCGCCAGATTGGGACTACTGAGACAACCCAGCCTCGTGGACTGAGAGACTACAGATTCTCAGCCTCTCCAGTGTGGTGCAGCCACTGTTGGACAACTTGGACTCTATCCTGTGAGCTAAGCTGATAAATATCTATACATATATATTAATTCTTCAGACTGTTTCTTTGGAGAACCATGACTAATACACATACCCAAAACTAGTCACAAAAAGTAGGCACCAGTGTTTAAACTTTGACTTAGTATTCAAATTCTCTTCATGCAAGTCAGGGCACTGGTTTATCATTTCAAGTTGAAAAGGAAACTGAATAAGAAAAAACAAACAAGAACCACAGCAAAGGTAGACTCCTGTAGAGCTAGAGCTATACCAACAACAGTGGGTATTGTCTCCTCTGTTCCCTATTCTCCCTCCTCTTCTTTAGAAAACCTCCCTCCCTTAAAAAAGAAAAAATAACCAGTTTGTGCCTTTAAAAGTCACACAGCTGCTGGAGATACAGCTCAATGGTAGAGCACTTGCTTAGTGTGTGTGAGACCCTGGATTTGATCACACTGTTGAAAAAAAAAAAGTCATGGCTTATTAGGATGAATTGCAATGAGGATGCTGGAGAGACGGTTCAGCAGTTAAGAGCTCTGACTGCTCTTGCAGAGGACCTGGGTTCAGTTCCCAGCACCCGCACTGCAGTTCCATACTGCCTATAACCCCAGTTCCCTCCTCTGGCCGCCATGATGCCAGGCATGCATGTGGTGCACATATATACAAGCAAAGCAAACACTCATAAATTTATATTCATTGATTTATAAAAAAGTAAATCAATCTTACAAAAAAAAAAAACCTGCAATGATTTGGGATTAAATGTGATTTGAGATTAAATGTAAACTTATTTGTGCTTTCTTAGATTAGAAACCTGACCAGGTGTGGTGGTGCACCTCTTCAATCCCAGCACTGGGGAGGCAGAGGCAGGTGATTAAGGCCAGCCTGGTCAACATAGCAAGTTCTGGGCCAGCTGGGGTTACAGGGAGACCCTGTCTAGAAAAAAAACAAAACTGGCTAGGGTCAAAACTCTTCCATGAATGACTCTGCTGAGCAGGAAACAAGTAGGGTCTTAGCCAAAGGTCAATGAAAACAGATGGCAGTCCTCCTCACCAGACACTGGTGTGCTCAAGGGGGCGCTCTCATGTGAATGACTGGGGTGGGAGGCTAGGAAGAGGGAGAGCAACTGTCAGCCTGCCTGCTGTGCCCATCCCTCCCCACTGCTACCCTCTTTATCCCAGCACTGATTCCCCTCTGGCAGCAGCCTAGGGTCTGACTCCCTTAAGACTTCTTTGTTTCCAAGAATGATCTTGTTTAGAACTTGTTTTACATAGAACTTGTCATAGCAGTATGCAAATATTATTGGTGTGAGTTAAGTCCTGATTCCACTGTCCTTTTGATGGATTTCTATTACATGAGCAGTATATTGCAGGTACATTCCCACCTTTGAAACATCTAATAACTGATAAAGAAAAAATACCTTTTTAAAAAATGTGGGCTTGGTATATGATAAACCTGATGACACAGATTTCAGAAGAGTACGTGTCTTTGGTATATCCACATGCATAAATGAGCTGTTTGTGATCACTTTTTAGTATAAGGAAATTCATTTGCCTTGGGTTTCATCATATTTTAAGTCTTAACCCTTCAGACCATAACTTTTTCTGCTCTAAGTACCTAAAGGGCCTTGGTATTGAAGACTCACTTCCCCAAGAAATTATTCTAGTCACTTTAGAATAGAGACTACTCCTGTACTCTGAGTACTCAGACCTTTCTGACGACTCATTTGGTAGTTCCCACAGTGGAATTTTCTATGGCTAACTTTCTCTTGTTTTCTTGAATTTGAGTTGTAACAATTTCATTCTGAACAACTTGTGAGGGCTGGTGATGTGGCTCAGTGATGGACAATTTCACTAGCATACCCAAGGCCCTAGGTTCATACAGAAAGGAGGAAAAAAAAAAAAAAAAAGGTCAAATATTTAAATTAGGTTTGGGGTGTATACCTGTCATCCAAGCACTTTAGAGGTGGAGGAGGCAGGAGGATCAGAAGTTCAAGGTTTGGTTACATAATGAGTTTGAAGCTAGCTTGGGCTATACAAGTCTCAAGACCAACCAACCGGACACCAGTATAAACAGAATAAACAGTACAAACAGAATATAAAGAAACCTCAATGCAGTATGCACTACAGAGGTGCTTACTTCCCGGCACCAAAAGATGAAGATGACTAACACTCACCCTGCAGTCGAAGCCTGGCTGTGTCCAGGGGGAAAAACACTGTCATTGCAGTCACGCTTCCCTGAAAGTTTGAAAAAGGCATTAGCCACTACAAGACCAGAGACACCAGCCACAACTTTTAAATGAACACAAACTCATTAGCACAATGGATCTAATCAAATTCTGAGTGAATACACATGGCATCTGAATCTCTTGGGATTATTCTTACGCACTGCTACTGTTAGATACTTAAATAGAACTTAATTTTCCTGAAGAAATCTCTTCCCTCTGATATTGAAAAGAAAATGTACTCCAGACCCTGTGAATGACAAACTTAGAGGTTGGCATCTTAAGACACATGACAAAGGCAGCAGCTACATGGACGTCTGACTTTCAGTGCTCATTGCTACAATGCTCTAATAATCAAAGTATTATGTATCAAATTATTAAGTATCAAAATGCTCCCAAATCGAAGTATTCAATAAACTTAAAAATACATGCTTCGCTGGGTGTGGTGGTACACGTCTTTAATTCCAGCACTCAGGAGGCAGAGGTAAGCAGATCTCTGTGAGTTCAAGGCCAGCCTGGTCTACACAGCAAGTTTCAGGGCATGTAAGAATCACATTATCAGGGCTGGAGAGATGACTCAGTGGTTAGGAACACTGGTTGTTCTTGCAGAAGACCCAGGTTCGAATCCCAGCACCCACAAGGCAGCTAAGAACTTGCCCATAACTCCAGTCCCAGGAGGTCCGACAGTCTCTTCTGTCCTCCAAGGGCATTGCATGACATGGGTGCACTTACCTACATGCAGGCAATACACGCATACACATAAAATAAAAACAGTAAATTTTTAAAAAAAGTACTAATATAAAACTCAATTTATGTCTTGAAATTTTTCTGTGGACTACATAGCCTGATGTAGTATATGCCTTGAACTTGTTAACAAATGCATGACTGTATTTCCCTACAAGTAAACCTAATTATGTATAAGAAAACATATTTCAAATGCTAAAACATTTGGGTAAATTTGGGATACAGGTATGTTATACACCAGAGACTTGCTATATTTGTTTCCTTACCAGGCAAACACAAAGATGACTGTTTTTATATGCATTGTTACCTGAAGCAAAATGTTTCTTTTATATGCAAGTCTTATGCCAAGTTACGTAAGCATATGAGTTTTCGGAATCTGAATTAAATTCCTTCAAATATAGTCAATTTTTTTTTTCCTGAGAACAATTTGTTCACTCATACAAAATTAGAAGGCACAAATACCCAGAGAATAATCATGATGTACAACACTGTTGAGCTTGAGAGATGTAAAATAAATCTATTGAGTCCCACAGAATTCTAACCATCTGAGTGGGAGTTCTATTGCTGACAATAATTACAATTTATAAGAATCTATTTCTAGAGAAATCTATTCAAGAGATTTCTCTCACCAAAACCACTTTTAGTTACAACATTCTGTTGTTCCTCCCACCTCCCAAAGAAGAATCATCTGGTGTTGGAAGAGCAAGTTAATTCCTATACTGCACTGGCACTTGAAGCTGTAAGTCCCTTCAGCTGGGAAATGAAGAGATGGGGCCAGCAGCTGAGGTCAGGCCAAAGCCAGTGTGGCAGAGGCAGGCTTAGAACCAAGATTCCCCGACTCCTCATACTCCTGTTCACTGTTAAACCTCAGTTCTTTTATTTATTTATTTTAAGATTTTACTTATTTGTATTTTATGTGCATGAGTATTTTGTCTGCATATATATGTTCATCATGTGTGTGTACTGCTTGCAGAGGCAAGAAGAGGGCAGTGAATCCCCCAGAACTGGAGGTGGAGTGGAGAGTTTATTACAGATGGTTGATAACCACCACGTGGGTGCTGGAAACCAAAACTAGGTCCCCTGCAAGTGCAGCCTGTGCTCTTACCACTGAGCATCCCCCCAGCCCCATTCTGTTTTTTTCAAACACACATGAATTTTTTCACATTTGTTGTTTATATTTATATTTATTTATTTATTTATTTTTATTTATTTATTTTTTTTGTGTGTGTGTAGGCACTCACCAAGGCTACAAGAGGATGTTGGTTGCCCTGGAGCTGGACTTTGAGTTATAGGCGGCTGTAAGCCACCCAATGTAGGTGCTAGGAACCAAACCTGGGTCCTCTGGAAAAGCAGCAAATGCTTCTGACCTCTGAGCGATCTCTCCAGTCTCACACATATGACTTTTAACGTCACTCTTCCACTCATGAAAGTGCATATGACACACACAGATACATACACAAAATCTGGGGAAATCAAATAAATTCTTAGCAGTGACTATATGGGGACAGGGAGGTAAAGATGGTTTCCATTTCCGAAATGATGCATCTCTATAGTTTTGTTTGACTTCTTCCCCCAGTGCTGGAGATCAAACTCAAAGCTGCTCATATGGAAGGCTGGTGTTCCAGTGCTGAGCTACATCACCAGGCCAGTGTGCAACTCTTAAAAAATAGCAAACATGCCGGGCATGGTGGCATCCACCTTTAATCCCAGCACTTGGGAGGCAGAGGTAGGTGGATCTCTGTGAGTTCAAGGCCAGCCTGGTCTACATAGCGAGTTCTAGGACAGCTGGGGCTACAGGGAGTAAAAAAAAAAAAAAAAAAAAAAAAAAAAAAAAGCAAACATATGCTAGTTTTTAGTTTTGAAATGGGGGAAAAGTTGAAAAAAAAAATTGAGACGGGGTCTTGCTCCATAGGCCAAGCTTGAGACGGGGTCTTGCTCCGTAGGCCAAGCTGGCCTTCCTCAAATCCATGATCCTTCCTCCTAAGTGATGGGATTACAGGCAAGTGCTACCATACTCAACTACAAATACTTTTTTAAAGTATGAGAGAGGGCTTGGGGATGTGGTTTGGACTGGGGGAGCGCTTGCTTGTCTAGCACGCACACAGCCCTAGGTTGGGTCTCTAGCATTACATAAACTGAGCAGGATGGTGTATGCCTATAATCCCTGTGCTCAAGATGAAGGCAGGAGGATCAGAAATTCAAAACCATCCTTTGTTACCTAGTAAGATAGAGGCCACCCTAGGGTACATGAGACCCTTTTTGGTCTTTTTGAGACAGGGTCTCCCTGTAGCCCTGGCTGGCCCTGAGCTCAGAGATATGCCTGCCTCTGCTTCCTGAGTGCTGGAATCAAAGGCATGTGCCACCATCATTTTAAAATTAATTTATTTAAGGGGGTGGAGAGATGGCTCAGCGGTTAAGAGCACTGGCTGCTCTTGAGTGTAATGCCTGCATGTATGTAAGTGCACCCATGTCATGTGTGGAGGACAGAATAGGGCATCAGATTCCCTGGAAATGGAGTCAAGAACAGTTAATTGCCATGTGGGCACTGAGACTCGAACCTGGCTCCTCTGCAAGAGCAGCTGTGCTCTTAACCACTGAGCCATCTCTCCAGGCCACAAGTTTTTTTTAAAAAACTTTTATTTTTATTTTTTGGTCTTTTTGAGACAGGGTCTCCCTGTAGCCCCAGCTGTCCTGGAACTCACTATGTAGACCAGGCTGGCCTTGAACTCACAGAGATCCACCTGCCTCTGCCTCCCAAGTGCTGGGATTAAAGGTATGTGCCACCATGCCCGGCCCTTTTTAAAACTTAAAATTTGTATTTATTTTGCCAGGCGTGGCAGCACATGTCTTTAGGATCTCTGAGTTCGAGGCCAGCCTGGTCTACATAGTGAGTTCCAGGACAGCTGGGGCTACAGGGAGACCCTGTCTCAAAAAAGACCAAAAAAAAAAGAATTTTTACTTTACGTGTATGATCGTTACACCTCCATGTGTGTACATGAACTTGTGTTGTGCAGTGCCTTCAGAGGACAGAAGAGGGTGTTGGAATCCCTGGAACTGGAGTTACGAATGGTTGTTAGCCATATGGGTCCTGGAGTTCAAACCCAGGTTGTCTGCAAGAACAGCCAGTGCTCTTAACTGCCATTTCTCCAGCCCACCCCCCCCAAAAGTTTTAAATGTGGGTGAAACCAAATACATTTTTTCTTCTATTTTTGTGCTTTTGGTGTCCTAATAACCTTCTCACCTAACTCAAAGTCATGAAGATTAGCACACATTTTCCTTTGAGTTGCGTAGGTCTGCGGTTCATTTGATGTGTGGTTGAAGTAGGTGTGAATGCTAAACTTAATTATTTTGCATGTAGACATCCAGTTATACCTCTACCATTTGATGAGCATCCTTGCCAAAAATCAACTGCATGCACAGTTTAGGGTTCTTTGAATTCTCAATTCTGTTCCATTAATCTGCATGTCTACCTTTATGCTAGTGAGAGACCTGAGTGACTCCATCTTGGATAAAACCTCCATGGGACTGACCCTGCCCTGGGCCCTGTTCTAAGAAAAACCACAATACTTGGAACGGATAGAGAACAACTCCCCCACCAACGGTCAATTAACCAGGGACAGGAAAGTACTAAAAGTCCAGATGTCTTTTCAGATTTCCTGAAGCCAGCAGTTTATGGTTTGGCACTGAGCTGCAACCAATCAGATGCTTGCCAGGCTGGAGACCCCCTACACCCCTACTTACTGAAATAAACCTATAAAAACCTCTGTCTCCCAAAGCAAGGGGTCTCACATCTGAGATCCGCTGAGTCGGTGACAGAGTGGGCCCAAGCTTAAGCTTGCAACATTAAAAAAACCCTTGTGTGTTTGCATCAGTCGGCTCCTTGGTGGTCTTTGGGGGTCTCACGATCTAGGCACAACATCTTGGGGGCTTGTCTGGGATCCCCAAGACCCCCCCCCCCAGGACCTCCGAACCGGAGGGTTCCTGGCCGACCAGTAAGTGTCTGTCTGTTTCTAGTTGTACCTGTCTGTGTCTGTCCCAGCTTTTGTTCTTAGCCTCAAGGCAAACTTGTGAACAGTGTGGTCAGGAGTGGTTGGAGCAGACGCGCTGGATGACCGTGACCACAGAGGTCTGGAAGACGTTCCAGACCCTGGCAGAGGGGACGGAGGGCCCCAGACTCTTGATTTCTGTGAAAGGACAAGGCAGGTCGCTCCCTCGGCATGGCAGTTCGCCCCTGTCCTACTTTCAGTTTTTCTTCCACACGAGCAGGGG